GAAGTCTGGCAAGGCTAGGGCAGGTGCTGAGACAAGAGCCTTCTTTAGCTCCTCAAAAGTCCATTGTTCCACTTCAGTCCAGTTTAACGGCTGCGCTTCCCCAGCACTTGAGCACAGAGGTTCAGCAATCTCCGCGAACCCCAGTATCCTCAGGCGGCAGTATCCAACTGCCTCCAAGAATTTCCGAACCTGCTTCTTGGTTGTAGGCATGGGGATCCTTAAGATTGCCTCTATTCAACTGAGGGAGGGCGTCCGTCTGCCTTTGCTAATGTCGTACCCCAGGTATGTGACATCAGAGGAGCACAACTGTGCCTTCTTGGCTGACACCCGGTAGCCTAATGCTTGTAAGGTGCCTAACAGGCCCTCAGTGGCTTGTCGGCAATTTTCCTCAGTATCTGCTGCCAGCAGAAGATCATCTACATACTGGAGTAGGGTACATTCTGGATGCTCCTGTCTAAGGGCAAGTAGGTCCGAGCTCAAGGCTTCATCAAAAAGGGTGGGAGAGTTTTTGAAACCTTGAGGCTGTCTAGTCTAGGTCAATTGTCCTGAGAATCCACCCTCTGGGTCATTCCACTCTAATGCAAAGATAGCAATTCCTTTCTTTGCTCCTAAAGTCAGGGGATATTGCCTTACCCGAGCTGGAGTGGCGGTGGCTTGCAATTAGACTACTACAGGAGCTTGATGACTTGCTAACCCCGGGGAGTTGTTTTCTGCCCAAACCATGGGAAGGAGACGTTGTAATTTCCCCAAGTAAGCAGAGTCACCTTGGCCCTTTCCTGCAAGAGATATTCATCTGAGAGAGGACAGGTTAGAAGAATGCGGACAGGGGAGGATGGGTCCTGGCTTGGGTTCCTTGGATCCACGGTGAAGTGTGCTCCGCCCCCTCGAAGGGTATGGCGGCTTGTAATTTCTGTAAGAGATCACGTCCAAGTAAGGGATACAGGCAAACTGGCATGACCAGAAACGAATGTGTTACCGTGTTCTTTCCAAGGTCCACAGTCCTCTTTGATGTCCAAGGAAAAAGGCAGTTTGTCCCGTGGCTTCTTGGACTGATGTCTCCTTAGATGTTACGGGTCCCCTTGGCTCTGTCAAGACTGAATAAGCTGCTCCAGAATACACCAGGAAACTAACTGGGGGGCCTATTTATAAAAATTATTATTCTGGGCTCTAAGGGGTTCAAGGAAAAGGAGTCCTGGCCCTATTAGTCACCTTCCCTGAGTGTAAATCCTTCAGAGCCTGGGTTTTCCCTTCAGCCTTCCTCTTTCCTTTGTTAACCTACCAGGATATTCTCTCTTCCAGTGCCCCTACTTCCTACAATAGGCATACTAATTCCTTCCTAGTTTGCTGCTGGCCTTTTCTTTACTTAAGCCCTGTTTCTCCTCCGGGGTGTCCCTATTGTTAAAGACTTTCTGGGCTACCTCTATCAGCTGTGACCAATTCATTCCTTCTACTGCCTTTTAAGCCCCCCCAAACCCCCAACAGAACACGGTGAAAAGTGTCCAAGGAGGCCTTGTCCCCGGGGGTTCTTGGGTCTTATTGGTGCGCAGGGAGGCACAAGTGTGCTGGGCTGCATATCTGGCACTTCGGCCAGACAGGTCATGCTGTGCTGTGTGTTCCTAAAACACACAGATAGGAAGGTACTGACATCAGGCCAGGCCTTGAGATATGGTCTCATGGCCCCTTCCCAGCACGCAGGCCTTCTTTCTCAGAAGGCCCGGAAGTCTCATTCCAAATTTGGGAGACAAAAGACTGGAAAAAGTATAAATAAAGAAAGTTTCCTCCATACTGGGGGGCCCAGAATTTGAAAGACACATTTTCTCTGGGCCTCCACAAAATTGAATAATAAAATGTAACTCCTGTAGTAGTCTGCGCTGCAGTTCAGCCTCTGCTCCGGCAGGGTGCTGTAACTGTAGTCAGCTGGCCACCCTAATAAAGGCTCTTAAATTTAAATTCTGAGTCGGTGGTCTATCTCACTGAGTGAACCCATAACACAAGGAGGCACAGGGAAATTTCCCTCTTTGCTGCTGTAGCAGCAGCCGCCCACTCAAAATAACCCCTCGGGGGATGAGAGGCAATTACAACCCGGGTGAGCAGAGGGCACGGGAGATGGGAGCCTGATAGGTGGAGGTGGGGAGCTCGGTGCAGGTCCCCAGGTGACTAGTGGAGGTGCTCCTGCCACGGGGGGAAAGGCATTTTCGTCTGGCAGTCCTTTTCTCTCTGTTCCCGCTGGGAAAGTGCTTGCCTCCAGCCAGCGACAGTGGCATGGTGGGGGCCAGCAGCCCTTATGCTGCCAAGGGGAAACATGCCCTGCATATTACAAAGCGCTCCTGTGGCAGTGGGTTGGGTACCAGGCCCCTGCCATTGTACCCGTCCCCTGTGACAGAGCAGCAGTCAGGCCTCTCCCAAGGGAGTACACTGGAAGGGGATGTCAGCCCCTCCTCTGCTAGCAGCAACAGGTACCGAACCCTTTCAGTACATTTGACCAGCCTCATTCCCGGCCACTTTTACAGATTCAGGGCCCATTGTCTTCCTTTAACCAGCAAGCCAAATGACACCGGCCTGTATTATTTCCTATTGTGAGTTAGAGGAAGACAATTCCTACAGAGGGGAGGAAAATGACTCTAAGTCGGCCTGGAAAAGAAGGCAGAGGATGACCAAGGGTGCAGGGAAATTTTACTAAAAGCCTGGAGGGTCTCCTGAAAGATCCTCAATTCAGCACAGGCAGGGGGCAGGGCCCATAAATTCTCTCTGCCCTGAGGAGCTGTGAGCCCACCCCTGAATGTCCCAATCAGACTAGAAAAGCCACAAATACCTTTAAATCTATCCCAGAATTCCAAAATTTCAACCCAACACAGCAAAATCACAGAGCAAATCAAAGTCCCTAGTACACAAACATAGACAGAAATTTTTACTAGTTCGGCAGGCCGATTCCACCTCTGACAGAGAGCAAGCACCCTTGGGAAAAGAACCCAGCGGTCGTTTGGGGCGTTTTGCTATTGGTCAGAGCACTCAGCCCTAAATCAAACTTGTTTTTTTGTTTTTGCTTTCTCACAGACTTCCACACTTACATGAACAGATAAATTATACCCAGGCAGATATGCAAACATCAAGTAAACGTCTGTACTTACACCCTTTCAGTGAACAAGTACTTTTACAGTCTTGGGATCTTGAGCAGATAACAGGAACACTGCCCAAGTCCCCTGATGGGGGCCTGACAGGAACACATGTGGGGCCTTTGGCTGGGGGGTATAAAGTCTCCATTCTTCCTCTCTCGGCACTGCTAAGGACAGGATCATTGGAGAGGTCTCTTCACCTAGGCAAGGCTGTGCTGAGCCATCTGGGGCAAAAGTGGTTTCTGCTTCCATTTTGGCTAAAAGGTCTCTGCCCATTAGAGGGACCAGGTCAACTGGCAAATATAGGAATTCATGAACCACCTGATGGCCACCTAACTGACATCGGCGGGGGCAGCAAACAGTCTGCAGCTGTGGTCCCGGTAGCTCCAATGATGGTGACTTCCTGTCCTGAGAGGGGAGCTACCTTCTGAGTAACTACCGAGTGCTCTGCCGCTGTATCAATCATAAAGTTCACAGTCTGGCCCCCGATTTTCATTTCGACTATCGGCTCATGGGGGCCCAGTTGGAAAGAGCACAGTCCTAGTCAGAGTCAGCTGTTGCCAGTCCGAGGAGGTCTGCCTCAGGCGGCTCTGGCCAATAGCGGCTGGGTGGTTTGGATGGCCTTGCCAGCTTCTTCTGGCCTGCTCCTGCCCTGTCTGCCTCTTCACTCCTGCTACTAAACCTTACTCTGTTTTTTCTTACACACGCAGAACCGGACCCAAGGCGGCAAGGTTTTGAGCAATTTTAAAATTCCTTAACATACATTCTAAGACAGTCGAGTTTGAGGAGGAGCTATTACCCATGTTGCGGGGAGGGACCAGGTTACCTCCTCCTTAAAAAATACCTGAATAAAAGAACTAATCAAAATAAGGCTTATTTTCTAACTTCATTTGTCCTTGGGTGTGGACAGCAAATGACACTAATCAGATTGACATGATCTATTTAACCTTTGCTTAGGGAGGCAAATGCAAAGCATTTACTCCCAAGTGTCATTGGTTTAGGGAAGATAGGATTTCTGCTCAGTTTCCCTATTCTACTTGTCCCAGCTCACTGGCCTATCATCCATTCAACTTTCTTTCAACATTTCTCTTTTCCTTCTCATCACATACACAGCCATCACAAATTTCACACTTTCAAATTAGCCTTCAAACCTTCTTTCTATGTCCTTCAAAAATGCACAACCATGCCTCAGACCTCCCATTAAGTATTTCTCTTTACCTTCCTCCATCACACCAAAGCCATATTTTCCCAGTTAGTTAGAACTCTTAGCCTTAATTTTTAGGTGGCATGTAAATAGTTAACATTCCTCAGATTAGCAATACATTCATATTTCTTAAGAGACACAAATAGAAATTTCACTAGCTAAACAATTTTAAACAACAAAGACACATATTTAAACAATAAAGACAGATAACATTCCCCATTAAAAACTTTGAATCACCACGGAAACTCAGGAGATGTTTAGAAGGTTTTTTTAAAGAAAACAAAACAGAAACAAACACTTCTACACCGGCGTGCGCCACATTTACACCACAAAATACCAACAAATCAGTTTCAATTGTGCAGAGATACAGAATCCATTCACACAATCCCTGACCCATTTTGACAAAGACAAAGACAACAAAGAACAAAGACAAAACAAACCAGACAAATGCAACCTAAGGTTGCCCAGACCATGAACCCCAGACGCCGTCACTTCTGGGCGGTCGGACTCCGAGGTTCCGCTGCGTCCAGCCCTCTTTTGAGTCCACCACCAGTGACCGGTCCCAGAACTTACCTCTAGAGGACTTTCAGGTGACTCTGATGAAAATTTTTTAGGTCACGAGCCAACGTCCCCTGTCCACTAGCTGGATCCGAAGGGGAGTTCTCTGGGGCCCTGGAACTTCTCAGGGTGCACACCCCCTAGAGTCCCCTCAGGCTCGGCAAATGGTCCAGGGGAGGTTCGGCCTCCCTTTGCGTCTGAAACAGCACCCCTAAGGGGCTGCATCTCGCTGGGGCCTCCAAATGTTGTAATGTACCCCATGAATCACAGAAGGGCGCCTCAAGAAGTCGAATTAAAGAGTCACATTTATTGCAATCTGGGACTATGAGGGGCCATTTTGCTTTCCCAAATCTCATAGTGACAAGATGGCCTGGATCATTTATCTTCCTTTTGTATGAGTTCTCTGTAAATTTTGGAGATTAAACCCTTATCTGAAATATCATTGGCAAATATGTTCTCCCATGCAGTGGGCCTTCTTGTTGTTGTTTTTTGTGGGTTTTTTTTTTTTTGGTGGTTTCTTTTGCTCTGCAGAAGCTTTTTATTTTGATGTAGTCCCATTTGTTTATTTTCTCCTTAGTCTCCATTGCCCTAGGAGCTGTGTCTGTAAGGTATTGCTACGACATATGTCTGCTATTTTGTTGCCTATGGAGTCTTTAGGATTTTTATCGTTTCCCATCTTACATATAAGTCCTTTAGTCATTTTGAGTTTGTTTTTGTATATGATGTAAGTTGGTGATCTAGTTGTTGTTTTTTAATTTCTTTATTGGTTAAGGTATTACAAATGTGTCCTCATCCCCCCATTAACCCCCCCCCCCCACTCATGTTCTCATCCTCCTGTTGTCCATGTCCATTGGTTTGGCTTATATGCATGCATACAAGTCCTTTG